GATACGGGTGGGTCAGGGGAGCCTGTGGGGGAGAGCGGAGGGGGAGAACAAGTCCCCCAAACCACACGAGCCCCTCAGCGGGGTACAGCCCCCCCCAGATATCAAATACAGCCTGAGCCCCCCAACCCAAACCCCAGAAATCTGAATCTCCGCTCTCTGCCCGGGCCAGGCTGTGGGGTGGGCTGTGCAGAGCGGTGCTGGGGGGGACAGTGCCGGGGGGTTCGGTGCCACCCCAACCCGCTCCCAACCCCGAGGCGATGCCGCGTGGCGGGAGAACGTCTGCTCTTCCTTCGGTGCTTGCAGGGAGCTGGTGATAGGAGCCCTGCCCCACCTCCTGCAGCTGGACGCCCAGCAGGTCCGTGGCAGCGTGGGCAAGGAAGAAGAGGAAGGAGGCTCTTCCAGCAGTGAGGACGAAGACGACGAGTCGCTCTCTGAGCCGAGCGGCCCTTTCACTGCAGGCAAAGGTGCCCAGACTGAAGCAGGACACATTGCACACTTGGGGGTTAAGCAGGCCGGTCCCTCTGTCCCCAAGGGTGACAGGAGTGGCAGGGGGCTGGGGTGGCCGTGCCAGGTCTCCTGTAATTCTTCTCCGTCCCTGGCAGATTTCTTTGCGGATCTGCACCGGGAGCTGGCCGGGCGCTCGCGGCGGAGGCGGAGGGAGGCCCTGAAGGAACACCGGACCCGTCTGGAAGAGCTGGAGGAGCTGCGGGGGCGTCGGGGTCTGCTGCTGCCTCCCGCACCGCTGAGCCCAGGCAGGGAGGGAGCAGCCTGCATCACAGCCCCAGGTCCCAAGCGGTCTCAGCCCCGTCCCCAAGCGAAGCCGGGGACGCAGCTGCCACCCCTGCCGGGACCTGGTGGGCAGCACGCCTGCCCGGCGCCCCAGCGAGCTCCCGGCAGGAGCCAGCCCCGGACCAAGGCTCTGGAGAAGGAGGCTCGCGCCGAAGGAGCAAGAAATAGGCAGTTACCCCAAATACCCCGCACCAGCACGGCACCGCGCAGTTAGGATTAAAGCCTCTTTATTCCTACACCAATCCGCCTGTCTGCCACGGAGCCCCCAGCCCCGCGGCCAGCCCCAGAGGGGCCGGGCACAGGCAGCTCTGCCTGATGGTGGGAAAACAAACGCCGGGCTGCAGGCGGGACTCC